TGGGTGTGGCCTATTATGCTAATGAGTTCCTGCTGGGTGTGGCCAGCCGGAACTCTGTTCCTGTGCGTTCCTACCCAAAAATAGCCCAGCTGGTTTAGCCACACCGGACCACCATACAGCAATCGCCATCTGCACTTAACTGCACTTCGTATGTATTTTGTTTGCTATGTGAATGTTATCTTTTGTTAATTATAATGTTATTGTATTGTAATGATTTTAAATGGTTTTACATATGTTTTTATATTGGATTGTGCCTCCTGTAAGCCGCCCTGAGCCCGCATGTGTGGAGAGGGCGGGGTATAAATTGAAGTAATAAATAAATAAATAAATAAATCTTGTTGCACTTATGCATCTGTGTTTTATTGTATTTTAACCTGTTGTATGCCACCTTGAGCCTGCCTGCGCAAAAAAAGACGGGTTATAAATCGAAAATAATAGATAAATAAATAAATGTCAGGGAGCGAGGTTAGGCAGAACTGTAACAGTAACTCTTCAACATTTAACCGTGGACGCCCCGTTTAACAGGATACCTTTTAATCTGCACGGGCGCCAGGGCTCTTTTTGTAGCAGGAACTCCTTTGCATATTAGGCGATACACCCCCTAATGTAGCCAATCCTCCAAGAGCTGTCTGTAATGCTTTGGCACGTTAAGAGGCTCTCATAAATATCAAAATAGGGACCGTCTTTACATATATCCCCCGGGAGGGCCCTACTTCCTATTATAATGCTGACAATAGCCTGGGCCCAGCTGAAGTGACGACTCTTTGTAATTCATTCCTGTTAAAGCCACGGGACTTGGACCAGTAACTACTAACCTGTCTGCTTGTCCCATGTTTCATATGACCTGAAGAGACTACAGAAATGTCAAATGGTAATGAGTAGGGCTCTCTTTTTTTGCTAGAAAAAGCCCAGCAGGAACTCATTAGCATAACAGGCCACGCCCAACAGCAGAAACTCATTAGCATATCAGGCCACACCCCCAGGCCTTCCCTTGGCTTGCTCAGGCACCTGAGAGTAGTTTAAACTGCCTTCCATTGGCTTGCCTGGGCAAGCCAACCCTTGTACAGGCCAGGGGAGGCCCGGGGAGTGCATAGGTGCGCTTCATTGATTCCTCGTTTAAGGGCATAGGAAACAAACAGCAAAGAAAGAGACTCACCTGCAGTCATGTCTGATCACACACTGATAGGCTATGCCCGCAGCTTCAAAGGGAAGTGTGATCTTGCCACTGCGGGTCAAATTCCTCCGGAGGAAACAGCCTCGCTCCCCCCCCCGCTTTATCTGGCGCGTGTGACCGCAACCATAGTGATAGGAGCGGTGGCGCAGGCAGTAAATGCCTGCAAGTAATCTATCTCCGAACAGCTGTTAACAGCTGTTCGAGTCCCACCGCGGCTGGGGTGAGCTCCCAGCCCTCGTCCTAGCTCCCACCCACCCAGCGGCTCAAAAGCCTTTTAAAGTGGCCATTAGACAAATGGGTACCCACTCCTTAGGAGTGGGGGGGCATCCTACCTCCAATACTGGAGGGCAGCAGTGGTGGCGAACAATGAGCGAGCCGGCAGGAAAAAAACATGGCGACGGATCGGTGGCAAAAACGGCAGGCAACTCGTGGAGGCGTGGTCCGGGTGGCGTGGAGGCGTGGTGACGTAAGCATGGTCGGAGCCTGTGGGACAGAGACCAGTGCAACTCATCACGCAGCCGCGCGCCACGGAGGGCCGTCCCAGGGGCGCCGAGCCAAAGAGAACAGACCTCCGCCAGAAAAAAGGACACTGCCGCTTGGTTCCAGCAAGAACCGCCCCTCAGAAAGAAAAAAGACCTACGCTGCTTAGGTGCCTGGTAAGGCATCCATCTCCCCTGAATATATGTGGCCCTAGTTAGATGATTAAATATATGTGTAAACCGCTCCGAGCCTTCGGGAAGGAGCGGTATAGAAATGTGATGAAATAAATAAATAAATAAATAAATAAATACCTATCACTGATAGGAGAAGAAATAGCAGTGATGAGGAGAAATGATGCAGGTAGGGGTTTCTACTCCTTCCCGTCATTTCCCCAAAACCCACTTTGGTCCGGTCCCTCCTGGAAAAACTGCCGTAAAGCACGTGTCACAGATATAGCCAGAAATATCGGAGGGATGTTGGAGGGGAAATGATGCAGGTAGGGGTTTCTACTCCTTCCCGTCATTTCCCCAAAACCCACTTTGGTCCGGTCCCTCCTGGAAAAACTGCCGTAAAGCACGTGTCACAGATATAGCCAGAAATATCGGAGGGAAGTCGCTGGACTTGACGCAAAAAACCATAGGAAATGTCTCTGCACAGAAACAGAGCTAGCCTGGCCTCTCAGTGAAACACGCCCAGGTGACTACGGAGGACCAGAACTGAATAGCCTTGGGGAGGGACAAGAAGACAAAGTAGTTGCATGATTATATGGCCTCGTGTAGAGCAGAAGCCGTCCAGCCCATTATTAATAGAGAAACGACGGCTGAGGGGTGACATGATCGAGGTTTATAAGATTATGCATGGGACAGAGCAGGTAGAGAAAGAGCTCCTTTTCTCCCTTTCTCACAATACAAGAACTCGTGGGCACTCCATGAAATTGCTGAGAAGTCAGGTTAGAACAGATTAAAGGAAGTCCTTCTTCACCCAAAGAGTGATTAACACATGGAATTCACTGCCGCAGGAGGTGGTGGCAGCTACAAGCATGGACGGCTTCAAGAGGGAATTAGATAGGCATATGGAGCAGAGGTCCATCAGTGGCTATTAGCCACAAGGTATAGATGGGAGCTCTCAGTCTGGGGCAAGTGATGCTCTGTATTTTTGGTGCTTGGGAGGGGGCAACAGTGGGAGGGCTTCTAGTGTCCTGGCCCCCCTGCTGGACCTCCTGATGGCACCTGGTATTTTTGGCCACTGTGTGACAGAGTGTTGGACTGGATGGCCCATTCGCCTGATCCAACATTGGCTTCTCTTGTTGTTGTTGTTCAGTCGCACAGTCGAGTCCGACTCTTCGCGACCCCATGGACCAGCTCCCGCCAGGCCTTTCTGTCTTCCGCCGTCCTCTGAAGTTGGCTCAATTTCATGTTCGTTGCATCTTTGACACTGTCTAACCATCTCATCCTTTGCCGTCCCCGTCTTCTTTGACCTTCAATCTATCCCAGCATCAGGGTCTTCTCCAGTGAGTGCTCCCTTCTCATTGGGTGGCCAAAGTATTTGAGCTTCAGTTTCATTATCTGGCCTTCCAGGGAACAGTCAGGGTTGATTTCTTTTAGGATTGACTGAGCTTCTCTTATGTTCTTACAATTTGTTGTGCTCCACGCACAGAAACGTCTAAGGATGGTGAGAACGTCCAGCTTCACAGAAGTGGAGATATAGGCGATGTCAAATACCTTTTATTGGCATTCAATATTAAAATAAACATTTCCCAGTATTAATACAATCCAGTAGAGATTATAAATAGATAATCGTGGTAAACCATTCCAAAAGTGGAGATATAGTTCAAAGACGGAGTGTCTTGGCTGAGGGCCGAAAGATATCCATATGCAAGAGAATCTTGTAACTACTGTTTTTGAATGGGCCTTTTAAAGATATAAAGTGGCAAGAATGAATGTTTTTTAGGTATTTGAAGAAGACACTTCTATAGAGAACCTTGTACGGTGTTTGAAGTTATGAGCTAGCTAGAAATGCATGCCCTACTAAGTGGGAGAGTTGGCTATTGTTAGGAGATTATATTAAAATCCTATAAATGGGATCGAGAGCTTCTTCTCAGAAGGGGCTTCTTGCTTGTGATCTTCAGGGTAGGAAACTTTTATGGACTCGTGTAATTGCTCTCCTTTAATCATCTATGTAACAAGGATGCACGGTACGATGTTTTGTTGGCTTTGTCAATGTTAAGAATGCAATAGCTATGCTTTAATAAAAAGTTTAAAATAGAAGCAGAGATTCTCTAACAGTATTACTTGGGTTCTATACCCAGAAGAAACCGAAGGCATTACTGAGGTGTTCCTCTGGTTATGATTAGGGGTGTGGCTGTGGCTCACTGGCAGAGCATCTGCTTGGCATGCAGAAGGCCCCAGGTTCAATCCCCGGCATCTCCAGTTAAAAGGACCAAGTAGGAGGTGATATGAAAGCCCTCTGCTGGAGACCCTGGAGAGCCGCTGCCAGTCTGAGTAGACAATACTGACTTTGATGGACCAAGGGTCTGATTCAGTATAAGGCAGCTTCATGTGTTTACAGGAACGTTAACTAGATGCCAAGGGCTTCCTAAGTACACACTTATATCTGAATCAGGCCTGACCTGAATCATCCAGAAAGCAGATTTGGGGAAACTGAAGGTGGAGTCGGGGAATGCCCGATGTGATGCAGAAGCCCAAATAAAAACTGCTGGGAGTGGGTGGGGAAAGGAGTGTATAGCAAGAGTTTCATGTGAAAGCACACTTATCTTTTAGGCACCATGCTTCTGGTTGCCAGTTTGGTGTAGTGGTTAAGTGCACGGACCCTAATCTGTGAGAACCGGGTTTGATTCCCCACTCCCCCACTTGCACCTGGCTGGATGACCTTGGGCAAGCCATAGTTCTGATAAGAGCTGTTCTTGAAAAAGAGCAGTTTCTGTCACGAGCTCTCTCAGCCCCACCTACCTCACAGGGTGTCTCTTGTGGGGAGGGGAAGGGAAAGGAGTTTGTAAGCCGTACTGAGACTCCTTTGGGTAGTGAAGGGCGGGATATAAATCCAATCTCCTCTTCTTCTTCTATTTGCTAACTTCTTTTTTTTTAAATGTAATTTTTTAATCAGTTAATTTTTTTGCTGTTGGCTTTATTCCTCCAGAGGAGTTAGCCGTGTCAGTCTGCTGCTGCGAAACAGTTAAAAGCCCAGCAGCACCTTTAAGACTAACCAACTTTATGGCAGCACAAGCTTCCGGGAAACACAGCTCTCTTCATCAGATGCATCTGACGAAGAGAGCTGTGTCTCTCAAAAGCTTGTGCTACCATAAAGTTTGTTAGCCTCAAAGGTGCTACTGGGCTTTTTACGACTTTATACCAGCAATTCTTATTACTGCTGTCTAAATGGCTTTGTGTTGATTGTGCTTTCAGGCACTGACAACATCCCTGAGTGTCCCATGGAGCTGACAGATTGCATACGCATTCTTAAGAACAAATGAATGAGACTTGGGTTACTTCCCTCGGATCAGGGCCTATGACAGGAATGATTCTCTGGTTGCCAGGAACAGCTGCACTGGCATGTTGTTGTTAATAGAACATCACCATTTCCCCCATTAATAAAAAAAACAAAACAAAAAACAGAGGCCATCGGCACTGTACCGACTAACCAAATTTATTCCAGCATAAAACTGTGTTGGAATAAATCATGTTAGTCCCTTGAAGCACCGCTGACATCCTATTTTATTTTGCTGCTACAGACGAACAGGGCTACTCATCTGCAATTTCCCCAGTTAACAGCATATCAGTTTTGCAAGACATAACGAACGAGAAATGATGCTCGTAAGCTCATTAAAGATGAATACAATTGAGAGTCTGAATCATAACATATGGCTCTGGAAGATTATGGAGGCGACAGTTATAAATCCCATGGTCATCATGAAGTGCTGGGCTTCTACTGACAATACAAACGGAGGGGGGGGAAACGTCACTGTTTCCCAAGATGCTTCTTGATGAAGTGTCCCACCAACTTCTGTGGTCTCGTCTGGTACTCCTTCAGGACCTCATGAGGTGTAGTGATCTGGTCGCCTTCGAGCCGGTTCAGAAGTGTGACACACACCACAGCCCCTTGGCAAATGCATAAAACAACACCAGAGACCTCAAAACGTTTACTTCACAATTAACACTGAGGAGAGTATCAAGGAATGACGTGGGGCTGGATCTCAGCAGCTTTTCTTCAGGGCAAAAGAAAGGCGAGGTTCAAATTTACCACTCAAATAGGCTGCGTTGAAGATCATGGGACCGGAATATATAGAAACCAAACCATGGAGGATGGGGGATGTAGTAGGGAAGGGAATATAGTGAAACTCAAGGCCAAAACTAGACATTATGGCGACCACAGGTTTGACCCAAGACCACTGCCGCCATTTTAGAAAAGAGTTGGTGTAGTGTAGTCAAAGCTGCCTTGAATGCATGATATGTTGTGAAACAGCTAATTGAAATGTAATGTAAAGCTTCGTCCTGGGCTAGGATCCAAATCCATCCAATAGTATTGCTAGCCCAGGAAGCACCTAACCAATCACTTCCAAGCAAGCTCCCTGAGCGGGAACATCCGTGATTGGTCCTTATGTGAACAACCTTATTGGTTGGTATTTGTACAGTGGGTGTGGCTACATTAGCCGGGAATGTTTAAAAGCAGGACAGCCGCAATGTAAAGGCTGTTCTGGCTATCAGATGTTGATCCGTGTTGGAGTTGTGTTCGAGTGGAAGAATAAAGTTGTGTTCTTGCTGAATCACTCTCCGACTGCTTTGTTAAGTGAACGACTTAACAGTTGACCATTTAAAAGATGCCACGCAGGGCCTGTTCCTGATTGAGCCTGCAGTGCAGAGAGACCAGGTGATCTTGTGTCCCACCGACACTGTGCACCTTTTCAAATTGCTTCATTACTCGAGAAAGCAGTGGGGTGGGCAGGACAAGGTCACCTAGTCCCCCTGCTGCACCATGGGCTTGGGCCCTCATAGCGTTTACCAAATGGCCAAATTCTTCTCTGAAGCAGTGGCAGCAGCCATGGGTCAAACCCGTGGCCACCATAACATCTAGTTTGGGTCTTAGTGGGGGGGGGAAACTGACCGTATCCAACCCACAGTCTTTCCTATTTCATCAAGGATGGGAGGGTTCCAGCAAACGGTGGCACAGAAACAAGGAAAAAATGCATCCATGAAGGATACCAGCAGTTTACTGTGGAAATACCCCTTTTCAGAAGTCTCCTCACATGGGTGAAGTGACTCCTAGGAACAAAATAGAGAGGGAGATCTTCTACCAGTGCTGATTGCTGGTTTTGCTCGTCACTGCGTATCAGCCAGCTAACCATGGCCAATGAGATCTCTGCAGTGTCGTGTAATGCGCACTCTCTCTCTAAAGAGCCAGGTCTTTGGAGGCTATGGCTCACTCCGATGACCAAGGAACAAGGAACCTCGAGTACCCATTTGTCAGAATAAATGTTCTCCATTCCAACCCCGCCCTTCAAATATTCCCAAATCATGGCAGAGCTCTGCACTAGTTGCTCAGGACTGAACAGGATCAACCCCTAGACTGAATACTCATAACTTGGGAGAGAAAGGAAGCAATATATCGCTCCCAGCAAGCTGCATCAAACCAGTTAGAAACCAGTTAGAAACATCGCATAAAGAAATTAACTGCAGGGAATGTTTGGTCCAGAGGGGAATACGGCTACAGATATGAAATATTCTGGAGGTTGTTATTTAAAAAAAAGATGGTATATGAATCCCCAGGTGTAGGAGGAGAAAATCCTTCTGAGGATGCGTTACAAGAATAGGAATCAGAACATATTAAAGTGACCGGGGAATACAAGGACAAAAAAGGATAGAAAGATAACAGCTGTTTTAGTGGAAATATTCAAGCTCTGTATCCAGATTTGTGACTCCTTAAACCCCCCCCCAATAAACTCAAAATCAAAAAGGTGGCACCTATGAATACAGTTAGTTAGTAGGAATGCTATTCTACAGTTAGTATTAGATTTGTTCCTAAATAATTATCTTTTTCTCCCACTGTAACGAAGGCACTGTGGCAGGGGATGATCTAGTAAATTTTTCTTGCAGAGTCATTGGTTTTACCTGTCATTTTTATCTGTGAAGTGGTTTGGGGAAGGAGAGCCCTCTGCCTAAGGCCTTTCCCCCTTCTTCCCCCTCAGTCTGTATATGAATTTGGGATGGTGAGCCCGTTGCTCTGGCCTCTTCCTTTCCCCCCTTAGTTTGTATGTGAATTTGGGGTGTTTCTCTTCTTTTCTCTTGTTAGCAGGCCCCAAGGACTTTAGGGAAGGAGGCTGCAGAAGAGGTCCTTCTCCTGCGGTGTGGGGTGGATCCCAAAATATTTTATGAGGGCAACTGTCTGATCAAACCTGAGATGTAATGGCTGCGGTCACACGGAGCATTAGCCACGCTACAGAGACGGAAGATAGGTGGATTTTCCAGGCGCGATCACACCACAACATCTGGGAAGTGTAGAGCTCCCGTGGCGAACCCGAGGCTTCCCGCCGAAGATGCGGGGTTAAAAACTGGTACCTCCGAGGTACTAGTTTCCGGAAACCGCGGGGCAAGGGCTGGCGTCTGATCGCGTTTCCGGTGGCGGCATCCGGCACCCGCCCATGTCCCCTTCACAAACAGGATTTTTTCTCCCCAAGTCTCCACAAGATGCGCACAAGCACCCAACGGCACATGCGCACAAAGAGGGAAGCGAAAGTGCCATTTCGGCTTTTAAAAAAATGACCCCGTTTGTCACGGCAGCGGCACCTAGCCATTGCTGGTGTGATTGCGCTGCTTCTTTGCCGCGCTGCAGGATCGTCGTGTGATCGCCACCCTCGTTTACCTGCCGGTGCTGAGGAAAGGACCTGTGGTGTGCCACTGGCACATCTGATCACGTAATCGCAGATCAAACTGTGCCGGGGCAATTAGTCACACCTCCCCCCGCGATATCCGGCCCGTGTGACTGGGGCCAATGTTAACCTTCCCTGCCATGAATTCCTGTTGATTATATCTCTGTTTTTATGAATTTTACTGTTAAAGTTTACTCCACTCCCTGGAATATTAAATAAACTTAATTTAAATTAAAAGAAGAAGCTATGGAAGAGACATTAACCTATGACAACAGCTTTCGGACGAGTTCTATATTAGAGCTAGATCAGGCACTGTAACGTTTTTTATTCTTCAACTGAGAGAGGATCTGGTAAACTTCTCAAGCTATCTTGGAAAGGCCTGTTTCCTAACTATACTTATGAGCAGTGTTCCCTCTAAGCTGAGTTAATGTGAGCTAGCTCACAAGTTTTTTTAGCCTCCGGCTCACACATTTTTGTCTTCGCTCTGGAAGGATAGCTCCAGGGCAAACTAATTTATGCAGCTGTAGTGTATTCAAAGGTGCCTTGAATGCATGATATGTTGTGAAACATCTAATTGAAGTGTAATGTAAAGCTTCGTCCTGGGCTAGGATCCAAATCCATCCAATCGTGTTACTAGCCCAGGAAGCACCTAACCAATCACTTTCAAGCAAGCTCCCTGAGCGGGAACATCCGTGATTGGTCCTTATGTGAACAACCTTATTGGTTGGTATTTGTACAGTGGGTGTGGCTACATTAGCCGGGAATGTTTAAAAGCAGGACAGCTGCAATGTAAAGGCTGTTCTGGCTATCAGATGTTGATCCGTGTTGGAGTTGTGTTCGAGTTGAAGAATAAAGTTGTGTTCTTGCTGAATCACTCTCCGACTGCTTTGTTAAGTAACTTTTATGCCGCTTTTATACCTCTGGTGCTCAGCCTGGCTTTGAGGGAGCCCTAGGATTCGTTGGAAGTTTCTCAGAGGCCCCTCAGTGGGAAGATAACTGCAGTCGGGTGTCCCTAAGGGACATCTTGCCCACCAGTCGTGATCTCCCATAATGCAGAGCCACAGGAGAACGTTGGGTGTGCCCCATTGTGAAGTCTCCATTCCTATAAAGTGTTGTCAAGTCACAATCAGGGGTCGTTTCGTAGAAAAGGAGCTAAGGGAACTCATTAGCATAACTCATTAGCATATGCCACACCCCCTGACATCATAAGGCCCGGCAGTGGACCTGCAAGGCTGGCGGGAGTGCAAGGAAAGGCCCTCCCTGGCCCCAGGCAGGCAGGGGTGGGGAGAGGCAGGGAGGAAGCAACTTACCCTCCCTCTTCTCCTGCCTCCTCCTGGCTGAATGAGCGCCGGAAGCGGGGCGGCCGGAAGCAGGGGGTGGGGCTTCGTCATGTGCCCCCCCGTACCTCACCCGGGGGAACTGCGATCCCCCGCGATCCCCCCCAAAATGACCTCTGGTCACAATTGGCCCAGGATGACCCCTCATGGGGCTTTCAAGGCAAGAGATGAGCAGAGATGGTTTGCCATCGTCTGCCTCTGCAAAGCAACCCTAGATTCCCTAGGTGTTCTCCCATCCAAGGATTAACCTTGGCTGAAATTGCTTCGCTTCTGAGATCTGACAAGCTCAGGCCCGTCTAAGCCTGGATGATTCTCCGTAGGACCTAGAGCATGCCTCAGAATCACACCTCTGAGGGTTCCCTGGCAGATATGCCAAGGCTGTTGAGCAGAGAGGTTGAGCAGAAAGGGTTCCCTGGTACAGATTAGGTAAAGGTAAAGGTCTCCCTTGCTCGAAAGCCAGTCGAGTCCGACTCTAGGGTTGCGGTGCTCATCTCCGTTTCCAAGCCGAAGAGCCAGCGCTGTCCGAAGACGTTTCCGTGGTCATGTGGCCGGCATGACTAAACACCAAGGCGCACGGAACGCTGTTACCTTCCCACCGAAGCAGTACCTATTTATCTACTTGCAATGTCTTGCTTTCGAACGGCTAGGTTGGCAGGAGCTGGAACTAGAGACGGGAGCTCACTCCGTCATGCGGCACCCGGGTCTCGAACTGCTGAACTACTGACCTTCCACAGCCTGCAGTTCAGCGTCTTAACCACTTGAGCCACCGCAGCTCCCTGGTACAGATTACTGGTACAGTAATCCATGCAACAGTCACCTCCAGGTTAGACGACTGCCACTTGCTCTACGCAGGACTACCCTTGAGACTGACCCGGAAATTACAACGAGTCCAGAACGCAGTGGCGCAGGGTCTCACAGAACCGCACTCTCACCACATATTCAACCAGTGCTCCGCCAACTGCACTGGCACCAGGTTGAATACCGGATTAGGTATTCAACCTAACTTTTAGGTATTCAACTTAACTTTTAAGGCCCTAAACGGTCTGGGACCGATGTATCTACGGGACCACCTCTCCTGGTATACCCTGAGAAGAGCATTACACTCTGGAGAGAAGAACCTTCTGGTGACCTTTGGCCCAAAAGATATCCAGGTGTCCTCAACCGGAACCAGGGCCTTCTCAGCCTTGGCGCTGGCCCGGTGGAACTCTCTGCCAAAGGGTATCCATGCCCTGTGGGACTTGGCATGGTCCTGCAGGGCCGGTAAGGCAGAGATGTTCCGCCAGGCCTATGACTGAGGACAGCAATGCTTTGCCACCAAGCCTCGTCTCTCCCCTTTCTCTCTCTTCCTTTTGCCCTCCCTTATGGGATAACGATAGGGATTGGTCTTGAAGCGCCATCTTGAAATAGCTACTGGATTTTAACTGTTTATTGAGTCTGATTTAGGGTTGCCAAATGGCACCCTTGTGGCGGGGGACTCCAGCCCGGCTCCCGGCGTGTGCGCGCACACGCCACATGCACGTCACAGGGAAGTGACGTCATGACACCGGGCACGCTAGGGGCGGGGCCACAGCCATTTGAGGGGAAAACTCTACGTCACTTCCCTGTGACGTGCATGCGGGCGTGGGTTTTCCCCCGGGGCCCAATTCCGCGGGGGCGGAAATCGGGCCTCCAAAGCGGGGGGAAATTCGTCCCCCAAGGGGATTTGGCAGCCCTAATAGTGGATTGGGTTCGGTAAACCTGTTCTCTGGGGGACAGGTCTACCAGTATAGTGGAAAGGGGTGGGTGGAATTTGATTTGATTCTGTTTTCTCTTATAATGTTTAAATTGGTCTTAAAATATAGTTGAAATAAAATTTAAAAGAATTTATTAGGGATTTAAATCGGGCCTCCAAAGCGGGGGTTTCCCCGCCCCCTGGCCCAATTTGGCAGCCCTAGTCTGATTGTAATTTACTGAAATGTTGTTCACCACCCCATGCCCTACCTGAAGGGGAGGGCGGTCTATAAAGTAGATGAATGAATGAATAAAACGCCCGTGTCATTTTAATTGCGAGGGTGGGAATCGTGCTCTTTTTAAACACTGCAGGGCTTCCCCTCTTTTGTCCCTGCATGTTTCACACTGTACAGCGTACAGCCTAGGTCTCTATGGCGCCAGCAATTATGCCTAAAAAAAAAAATCCTACTGCAAATGCTGAAAAGGTAAGTACCGAAAAGCAGTATTATAAACATCCCCGTTGCCAGTCTAAATTAAATATATTGGAAACAGAAGAATGAAGTAAGGCCACGCCCACGCCACTACCTCTGAGGCCGCTGAGGTTGCACAGGGCCGCAAAAACAGACGATTCCATCTCGATATTCCTCACTCCAGCCTCATAAGCTGATTTCAAATACTGCATTTTCTCTTCTTCGCTGTACGAGCAGATCGCACCATCCAGGCGGGCCTGGCCTACAAGGACGCAGGAAACGCAGATTTTTATATGCACACTGAAGTCTCTACAAAAGGGGTCCCCAACCTTTTTGAGTCTGTGGCCACCTTCTGAATTCTGTCTGACGCAGGCGTGGTGGGCATAGCCACAATATGGGTGTCGCCAGTGTTCCCTCTAAGCTGAGTTAGTGTGAGCTAGCTCACAGTTTTTTAGCCTCTGGCTCACACATTTTTGTCTTAGCTCAGGAAGGAGGGCTCCAGAGCAAACTATTTGATGCCGCAGCCAAATCACTCGCTCACACCTTTAATACAAGTAGCTCACCCAGTAGAATTTTTGCTCACAAGACTCCATAGCTTAGAGGGAACATTGGCTGTTGCAAGAGGCGGTACTAACCCAAAACTGGATTTGATTCCCCACTCCTCCACATGCAGCTGCTGGTGTGACCTTGGGTCAGTCACAAGATCTCGCAGAGCTGTTCTCTCAAGGGCAGTTCTCAAGAGAGCTCTCTCAGCCCCCACCTACCTCATAGGGTGTCTGTTGCGGGGAGGGGAAGGGAAAGGAGATTGTAAGCAGCTCGGAAACTCCTTCGGGTAGTGAAAGGCGGGGTATAAATCCAATCTCTTCCTCTTCTTCGGGCACCGTGGGGCGCCCACAGGCACTACATTGCGGAGCCTGCTCTACCCTACAAATAGCTAAGTAGTGTGGTCAACCAAACTTTCCTTAACAAACTTCCTGCAAACCAGGTGTCAGGGAGAAGGGATGTATACTAGCTGCTTCCCCTCCACGTATGCCAGTTTTGTAATTCCTTTTTACAGGGAAACATTTGACGCTGTTATTGCCCCCCCCCCCCAAATGGCAACTCTAAGGGACAGCTTTATTTCACAACCTCTTTGTGGTGGGGACGACGGCACCGTGGGGCGCCCACAGGCACTACATTGCGGAGCCTGCTCTACCTTACAAATAGCTAAGTAGTGTGGTCAACCAAACTTTCCTTAACAAACTTCCTGAAAACTAGCTGCTTCCCCTCCCCGTATGCCAGTTTTGTAATTCTTTTTTACAGGGAAACTAATTGCCCCCCCCCATAAATGGCAACTCTAAGGGACAGCTTTATTTCACAACCTCCGTGTGTGGGGGGGACGACCCACTCTTTCTCTATTTAGTGATCCAGATAGTCTGATTTTAACTGTTTCTCCGTTTTGTGTGCCTTTAAGCCCGCACAAATAGAAGATCTTTAGCTCAGCATCTGGTAATCAAGATGTTTTGTTTCTAAGCAAAACTGTTCACACAAACAGGCAGATGATGAAGAAGAAGAGATTGGATTTATACCCCGCCCTTCACTACCCAAAGGAGTCTCAGAGCGGCTTACAAACTCCTTTCCTTTCCCTTCCCCTCCCCACAACAGACACCCTGTGAGGTAGGGGAGGCTGAGAGAGCTCTGACAGAAACTGCTCTTTCAAGAACAGCTCGGACAGAACTATGGCTTGCCCAAGGTCACCCAGCAGGTGCAAGTGGAGGAGTGGGGAATCAAACCTGGTTCTCCCAGATTAGAACCCGCACACTTAACCACTACACCAAACTGGTAGGTTTGCATGGTAGCAGCCTTACCTTCGTAGAAGTCCAGGGTGCACATCGTGTTCCCCGTGACGGTGTTGAACTGCTTCAGTTCCTTGCCACACTCCATCAGCTCTTCAGCCAGTTCCTTGTCTAGGGCTGTGCTGCGGAAGACCGACTTCCCCAGGATAACCTGTTCTAACTGAGGCTTGAAGGTGGCGTCCACGGACTGCCTGGTGATCACTACAGACCCCGGCTCCAAACCTACATTTAAAATGGGGGGGAGGAGAGAAAGGCCCCTACGTTTCACAATTTCGTTCAGTCCTTGCACACCGATACATGTAAACTACATTTTTCATTAAAGAAGAAGTAATTAAGGCTTTCGAGAAATACCTATTCCACCTGATGTGCCGATGCGGACAATGATCACATTGGAGCACTTGGCGTAATAAAGGAGCTTGATCAGTTCATGCAACATGATGGCAATCGAAGGGATCCCCATTCCATGCTGAAATGAAAGAGAGAGAGAGAAAAGGCCAAAGGGCCACGATTAATACTAACATATAGGGTTAGATCCAGGTGGCCAGCCATCTTGGTCTGAAGTAGCTGAACAAATTTAGAGTCCAGCGGCACCTTGAAGACCAGCAAAGGTTTGTTCAAGGTATGCGCTTTTGTGTGCACGCACACTTTGTCAAATACACTTGGAATGGTGTGCAGTGTTCCCTCTAAGCTGAGTTAGTGTGAGCCAGCTCACAGTTCTTTAGCCTCCGGCTCACACATTTTTGCCTTCGCTCAGGAAGGAGGGCTCCAGAGCAAACTCATTTATGCAGTAGCCAAATCGCTCGCAACTTTCATGCCAGTAGCTCACAAAGTAGAATTTTTGCTCACAAGACTCCACAGCTTAGAGGGAGTATTGATGGTGTGTGTGGTTCTTGCCAATACAGGGTGTGGGTGTTCCTCCTTGACGATGCCGTCGACTTGAAAATCATTTCACAATCGCTTCTTCAGAAGAGAATACAGGAACACTGCATTCACACATCCAAAGAATTAGATACAATCAACGCAATTTCACATCAAGCACTGAAGTTGAGTCCAGTGGCTCCTGTAAGACCAACAAAGTTTTATTCTGGGTGGAAGCGTTTGGGTGCATGCACATGAAAGCTTATACCCAGAATTAAGCTTCGTTGGCCCTTATCTCCCCGTTACTTGAGCTCTGTCCTGACACCTCCGACTCTGGGATTATTAACATACTTCTCTCTGATGTGAGTATAGAGGTCACCTGGAAAGTTGCTAAATTCTGCTCCCAGGTGATTAAATTGCGTCCTATATATGTTTCCCAACTTAATGTGGAAGATGGTAGCTGATTGTATTCTACATCTACATTTTTATGTAGTTAGGTTAGAAATTGCTGCATTTGTATTAGTTTCAATTACTTTTAGACACTTTAATATTTGCATACCTTAATTTTTATATTTTATCAGGCTACAGTCATTCTTTTTCTTACTTGTTTGTATTCTGGTCACGGACTGTAATTAAAGCAGTGGTCTGAAAGGTGCCTCTGGACTCAAACTTTGTTCTGCTGATTCAGACTAACACGGCTGCCCGCCTGAATCTAAAGACGGGTGCGTTTTTGATTGACGCAGCCACCTCACAGATCTGAATCTTTCGCGTACTTACACTGACCGACAGCACTGGGCCCACTTTGTACATGGCGTAGCGATCTGTTCCGGCGCAGATATTGGGGTGGTCAGAACCGGGGCTGCCGATTCCCAGGTCTTCCGCAATGAAGGAGATGAAGTTCTTCATCCGAGAGGGGCTTCCTCCGACGCATACGAACTAGCAGGGCGGGGCAATACACCAAGAGAGCAAAACCATTAGAATGCTATGGCCCTACCGGAGCATATTCAAAGGAAGACATCCAATGGCATTGAAAAACATCCTGATGCCAGAAGGAATTAAAAGAGACGAGCGTGAGGTTATGCTTTATATTCTCACGGTATTTAAAATCCTAGGGGCAAAAAAAAAAAAGGAAAACGGATTTAATACCTAAAAAGAAGAGATAATGGGAAAGATCCTTGAATTAGTGGAAATGGATAGATTAAATTTGATGTTAGCAGGGAGAGATGATAATGTATTTATGAAAAGGTGGAATACAGTAAACAAATGGATGGGGAAAACTGTATAATGTATACTCCAACAAATAATATGTAAAAAGAAGAACATTTTTTTGTTTTGTTTGATTGTTTGTTTGTTGTAATGGAAAAGCCATAAATAAATAATGGGGGGGGTGGGAGAAAAACATCCTGAGATTGTAAAACGACAGACTTATCTGTTGCGACTACAATGAGTATTGTAGTGATTTTAAATGGTTTTAAATTGTTTTATATTGGCTTAGGCCTCCTTGTAGCCGCGGTAAACAGAATAAGAAGCAAAAGGTGGGTGTGACTGGATGACCACACTTCTGGTAACACAGGGGTGTGGTCTCATATGCTAATGACCTGTGCTGTCAGGGGTATGGCCTAATATGCTAATATGTTTCTGCTGTTGGGTGTGGCCAATTATGCTAATGAGTTCCTGCTGGGCTTTTTCTACAAAAAAGAGCCCTGGGTTTAACCATAACAGCACTTAAGCCAGGGGTCCCCAACGCAGTGGCCTTGGGCTGGGGGGGCATGGCATGCATCAACATTTTTTCTGGTGCCCGCCAAGTGTTTCAGGGAGTGGCCAGAGGGGGCTTTTGCCCCACAGGGCTTCTCCTTGGCCACTGGAGATCTAATTAGCTGTGCAGATGTTTTTTAAACGTTGCCTTGAAATCAGCTGCCCTCACAGCACAAGGATGGTCGCTATGTGACTGAAGGTAAACTGTGTGTATACAAGAAAGTATTTTAAAACAATACATCGTGTTAAACAGAGCTTCTGCTGAAAAGGTGAAGAGTTACTACTGCAATTAAGCATCACCTTCAGTCCCTGACATTTTGTAATCAGCTCTGCCTCCCGCGGCAGCCATTTTGCAGTTAGGCCCGCCTCCTGTGGCAGCCATTTTGCCATTGGGTCCGCCTCCTGCGGCAGCCATTTTGAGGTTGCACCCAGCAATTTCAAAGGTGCTTGCTGGGTCGAAAAGACTGGGAACACCTGATTTAAGCTATAGAATGAGACACTTTATATGGGACAAGAAGCCACAGAGCAAGTCTTTTCCTTCACGCTTAAGATGGTATTTGATACTGTGAAAACCCAAGGGAAGTCCCAGCATGCCTCATTCTTCTATTCACACCTGACATTCAGAAATCAAAGGTACGTAAACGTGCAGGATGAGAGAGGGTCTCCCCATGCAGGAGCACATTCAGCCTGCGCTAAAAGCTCTGCACTGGTTGCCTATAGCATACCTGATTTGCTTCAAGGTGCTGGTGCTTACCTTTAAAGCCCTTTATGGTCAGGGGCCTACCTACCTGAGGGACCACCTTTCCCCACATGCTCCCCAGAGAGCACTGCAGCCAGGATCCCCAAACCGTCTGGCCCTTCTGGGCCCTAAAGATGTCAGGTTGGCATCAACTAGGGCCAGGGCCTTCTCAGCAGCGGCTCCGCACTGGTGGAACGAGCTCCCGGAAGACCTCAGGGCCTGTCATGCCCACCGTGCCGTCCAACCCAGTGGACCCCGATCCCGAGGACTCTGCACCTTCCTCCTCCAAGGAAGAGCTCCCTGCACCCCTGGACGTACGTTTTGCAGAGGATGAACACCGGCTGTCAGAAGGGTTCACACCTGGAGCCGCTCCTGCTGAGCCGAGCACCAGCTCCACACCCTATGATCCCCCTCCACCTGTTGCTCGTTTACGAGACCAAAGGAGACGGGATTTGACAACCAGGCGTGGAGAAGCACGCATGCATGGGAGACGTACTCTGACTCCAGGGTATTAACTGGAGCCAGGACTCATTAATCAGCCAGTAATTAATAACACAGGGAACAGGCTTTTAAGGAAGCCGTCTGCACTATCCACCTTGTGCTGGCAACTGATCGCATGATTACATCGCGGCACCTCTGACTTTGCATCTGGTTTCCTGACTCCTTGTTTGACTCCCTCGGATATTTTGGAGTACGGACTGGGTGACATTGTCTTCTGGCTTCTCGACCCTGGAATTTGTAACTGGACTCTGGACAACGGCTTTATACCTCTAACTACGAAGCTCCGGTAACCCTGAAACTCTGCAAATAATTTGATATCTTGGACTGTGTTTTTTTTTTCCTGCCTCTCCGGTGCCCTGAACTCTGTCTGTGTTTACTGGATACTCCGTGCCTTGCCCGCCCGCTTGGGCAATCGTGACAGGGCCCTGCGGGACCTTTTACAATTCCACAGGGCCTGCAAGACGGAGCTCTTCCGCCAGGCCTTTAGTTAAGGAGCCGCACCCAATGTATCAAGGCCCTGTGCCCAATACCATCACCAACAGCCTGAGCTTTGCCGATTTTAAAATCAATTACCGACTTCATTCACTAGCATGTTGATGCTACCCGGTTCTCGCCACCGCCACTTAAATTGCTCACCGGCACCTTATGTTGTTTTTAAGCTTTTAAGATATTATTTATATTGCTGTTTTAGCCACTTCATTTTATGTAAGCTGCCCTGAGCCTGCTCCAGCGGGGAGGGTGGGGTATAAATCAAATAAGAAATAAATGAATAAGAAATACTAATTTTGACTCCTATGGGACAGCACTTCTCTTACTTTGACGTCTCCGAATAAGGCAGGGAAGTCGTGGGTAGCGGTGCCAAGAGCAAAGTGATACAGGAAGTCCTCTTTTATCTTCTCAAGGTGAGGATTGGGAATGTGGATGGCTCCTTCCCTGCCAGAGAAAAGGACAATATCAATTCACAGTGCAGAAATTGTTACGCTGACGCATGGGACCCTGGACAGTCTCACAGGTCAACTGGAATGTTGGCTTCCAGCCTTGAAAACTCGGACACCTCGACGTGTCGCTCTTGTGCGCGGTCTCATGTGAACGTCCTCCCCATTCGTTGGCCTCTGGATGCCAAAAGGAGAGAGAGATATCTGCTACCTACCTCACTCCCTCACATTTACGGATGCTGAATTTCCAAAACACGTAAGAAGTTTTGAGTCGGTATTTAGAGTCTGTTTCAGCGGCCCAAAATAAAACAGCTTAGCTGATAGCCCAGGCTAGCCTGATCTCGTCAGAGCGCAGAAGCTAACCAGGGTCGCCCTGGTTAGTCCTTGGATGAGAGATAACCAAGGAAGTCCAGGGTTGCTACGCAGAGGCAGGCAAAGGCAAACCACTGCTTTCCAGCTCTTGCCTCGGAAACCCTACGGTGTTCCCTCTAAGCCAGGGGTGTCGAACATAAGGCCCGGGGGCCATTATTGGCCCGTCCAGAGCTCTTAGGCGGCCCGCAAGCAACTGATGCAAGGGAGGGAGTGCTGGGGGGGGGAGTGGGCGGAGTCACTAAACTGTGGATTCAGCACAGCAGAACAGCCTAGTCTGCAGCAGTGAAACATTGTGGGAGCACCTGCCCAGCGCTGCACTGTTGCCTCTCCTGTCTGCCTGCGTGGGCTTTCCTTTGCACCCCCCTCCCAGTCCCACGGGGCCTTGAATTGAGGATACGCCAACTTGGAGCTTACCAGCTGCTCTCCTTTATACAATTTATATCTCCGGTACCTGGCATTATGTTTTATGGCACACATGGCCCGGCCTGACAAAGTGACATTTATGTCAGATACGGCCCTCGTAACAAATGAGTTTGACACCCCTGCTCTAAGCTGTGCACGTGAGCTCATTAACCCAGGAAGCCCTGCTCAGCAGCAATCTGGAGCCGCGCAGGGTCTGGCACTGCCCTTTGCCCATTTGAAGATTACAGCAGTTCTATTCTGCTCAGGTAGGGTTGCCAGACCCCCGGGTCTGAGTGGGGGTTTCAGGCTTCTACCTGCTGCTGTCACGTCAGGACGTCACACAGCAACGCTCTGCTTTTGGGGGGAAACTCTATGGTTTTAGGCAGAAAAAGGTAAGGAAGGAAGGAAGGAAGGAAGGAAGGAAGGAAGGAAGGAAGGAA